CGCCCTACCGACCAGGCTATCTCGGCCCTATGTATTATTTTAGACTTATTCAAAAACGGGTGGTAAAGTTACAAAAAGTTTTACAACTATTATCAGAATTGAAAAAAAAAAATCATTTTAGAGATCGCATCTGAAACATTATTTTTAAACGTTAAGCGAAATGTAAAGTATTCCCGCAACAGCCCTTTGTGTGTCAGGGAGACCATGAAGGTTAAGACTTCACAATTTCACTATTAACGGCAGGATTTTGGCATTGTGATTGTAATTACGCAAATGCCGCCTTTCCTTCCCAAAAAAAGCTGATACCCATAAATTTAAACTCGGTGGACTTCAAGTCGCCACTGGATATCGAACTCCAGGCTTTCACAACGACCGTTCCATTGAGCCATCACGGCTCATTTAACATAAAGAACTTCAATGAAATGTACACAAGTTGCAGTGACAGTGACAATTTGGAAATATGACTCATATAACTAGTAACTTTCAAGAGTCTGAATTTTAAAAAAATCTTACCTTTTTAGAAAGTTCCGGTCCATTCTCCATTGCATACATTATTGCTTCTGAAATTTTTGTATCCAAAACACTAAGCACTTCTTCTATATTATAGGAAGCCACAAGGCCGGATGTGAGCCTCTCTAAGCCACTCACAAAGTCACTCCAAGGCTGATCTAGCTCAGCCACGTGAGCAAGACAACCCCGCACAACATTTAGGCAGTATCCACTGCAGGGTTTAGTCCTCGCGAATCCAGCGCACTGAGAACAATAAACCAATTTAGTAAGACCAGCGTTGCAGTCTGGCCTGAATTGCATGTTGTCTGTGACACCTATAACAGAGATACCGACTTCGAAAGCCTCGATTATAGTCCTGGCCACGCTGAAGGATCTTTTCACCTGGATGGTGATCTGGTCAGCAATATCCCCGAAAGGTCGGATCTCCTGTTGGGTCTCACGTAAACACTCTTTGTAGTCGTCACTGAAATCTTTCAGTTTGGGATTTATGGAATGGTGGTAGACAAGAGGGAAGAGCATGTCGAAGAAGGCCGAAATCCGGGACTCCAGTTCCTGGGATTTTCCCGAGATGTATTCAGCCAGATCGTCGTAGAATTGAGAAACTGGTTCACGTGCAACGCTGTCCATTTTTTTGTAGACCTCCGAAAAGAGGACGTTGGTGTTGTTTTGCGAAACGTGAATCATTTCAAGGAAGTTTTCTGAAAAGAAAGAAAGAAAATATTTCAGGGTGCGTAGCCAAATCTTTCAACAAAAAATAAGCACCTTTTTAGTACTTTTTAAGAACTCAAAAATATTTTTAAGCACTGTGTACGTTAACAAAATAAAGACTTTACATGATTATGATAAATTAACTAGTTTCTAACAAAGAACTCTTTTCTTGATTATATTAGCCAACATAAAAAAAGATCGAGAGATTTTTCAGTTCAATATCAGAGGGTTGAAAATGAAGCCTGAAATTGAGAGCATCTTGCAAGATGCAGCAGAGTTGCAAGTGAGAGTGCAATAATCTCACTGAATCCAGCTCAATAGACGCACATGCACACTCGCCAGTATTTCATCAAACACGTAATATGATCGGCGCTTTCATACGCTATGGATCGACGGTACGACGAAATGGATTGTTGTTGAATGATATGTGAAAATGTTGGACAGAACAATGTAAAAAGCACTCTTTTGTATAATAGGTGGCGAAAATCGACATGGCAAAGAAAAAAAAATCTCATTTTCGAAAAGGAAAAATTAAGCACTTAATAAAATAAATAAAACACCAAATGAAAAAAGGACCTTTAAAGGCTTTTAAAAAACGAAAATCGAAAATAAGCACCTTTAAGCACTTCTTAAAAACGCTACGCACCATGTATTTTACACTTATTTGATGTAAATTGTACCACGAAACATTTTATTTTATTTCATAACCGTCG